GTCATCACCACCCACCGCCAACTCTTGGGCTACTCTTTTACCAACGAATAGTGGGATTGACCGTAACATTATAACACCCCCACGGCTGAAAGGGCGAGCATGTTTGGTGGGACGGGGATTCGAACCCGCGACCCGTAGATTGCGAGTCGAGTGCCCTAACCAGTGTATGGACGAATTCTTAAGGTTGTTAAGACCTTGCGATCATTATCCAAGACGTGATGAAACGGACTTGGATGAGTGCAGGCGTGACGCACAACAACTTAATTGCATAACATGTCTAACAAACCCAGCCACGTGGTATGTCACGAGGAACTGTTATGGCAATAATTGTAATTAAACAGTATCCTCAATGACATTAAAATATCAAGTTTTGTTATAACATATTTACACATGATGCATCTCTTCTTAGCTAAAACATACAGTATAAAAACTACTACCACTATCTGATATTTAAAATTATTGTTAAAAAGTAATCAATTATAATAAAAAGAACCATATCAGATGTTACGCTGCTAACCTAATCAGTGTTTTGTCTCCGTTTCAGTAAACGGCGTGAGTTAAACCTAAAACATTAAGATTTCTATTACGTTCTCCTGAGAATTATAAATTTCAACTAGAATACTCAAACGTTGTAAGAGATTTAAGCCACGGGTGCAAACCTACTGAAGTAATTAAACAATTAAGAACTTATTCAACGACTCCATTCTCCAACACTTAACGCTTTATCTATTTAACCCCCTCCCAAAGCGCTTCAAACTTAAAGAATCATTTCAAAACATGTCTTATAATGTCTCAAATGAGCTATACCTTTCTCAGCCTTGCACCCATGGATTTAAGAACGGAGTGTGACCTAGTGATTAACGTGCCGGGCTGCGTATCGAGAAGTCCAAGGTTCGAGCACGCGGTATACAGTTGACCTGTTCAACTGTGTGGACGCTTATAAAAGCGAAATTCATTCTTGCCATTCAGTCGAAAGTTGCTATTAATAGGTACCTTCCTGGATAGTAGTTGTAAATTATAAACGGCTGTGACTGAAACTTGAATCTCTGATCTGTGTCTCATAAGTTATAAATAACAAACTGAGAATAGAACCTTTCATGGTCGGGAAGGGCAGAGCGTGAACTAGCGTTTGACTTTCCCGACTGTGAATTTAAGGTTTCTTGGTTAGAGTCTCTCTCTGTGTTACAAAAACACGTTCCGCGCTTTGGGCTGTGAGTGTATTATAAGAGTGCCTGTGAAACCCCACTAATCGATCACGCGAGAGAATCCCAAGAGTTGGTAGAGGGTGCTGTTATCTAGCTGCCTTCTCTTTGAGCCATTGTGGCCTAGAAGTTATCGTGCCGGACTGTGTATTTTGGGGTTCATGGTTTGTCATGCCCCGTTGCCGAAACTTCACGCTCCATAGTTTTGGGTCGTGGGTGCATGATAAAGGTGACTGCCAAATTCCAATATTTGATCGCACAAGAACAGCCATGAGTGCTGTTTATTAGCTGCATTCTCTCTGGACCGGATATGGACTAGCGTGCGGGCTGGGAATCCGAGGATTCATGGCTCACGTCTGGTTGCTGCAAACTCGCTCTCAGTATTTTGGAGCCGTGGGTGCATTTCAAAAATAGCGGTGAAATCCTACTATTCGGTTTCACAAGAGCAGACACGAATGTTGTTGACTAGTTGCCTTCCTTCCAGTCTTAAAATTAGGGACAGATAGTCCTTGTATAATTTTACGCGGGTTTCCGACACGATCATACTAGTTTGTTTGTTTGTTTTTTAATTTCGCGCAAAGCTACACGAGGGTTATCTGCGCTAGCCGTCCCTAATTTAGCAGTGTAAGACTAGAGGGAAGGCAGCTAGTCATAATCACCCAACGCTAACTCTTGGGCTACTCTTTTACCAACGAATGGTGGGATTGACCGTCACATTATAACGCCCCCAGGGTTGAAAGGGCGAGCATGTTTGGTGTGACGGGGATTCGAACCCGCGACCTTCAGATTGCGAGTCGAGCGCCCTAACAACCTGGCCATGCGGGCCATTTGTTTTTGAATTTCGCGCAAAGCTACACGAGGGCTATCTGCGCTAGTA